AAAGCTGTTCACCTTTATTCCAAGAACTAGCTAACAATACTCTACTACAAAAAAGTATGCATTCATTATTCTACCATATTATACTTTTCTGAGGAAAAAAATATTTGTATTAACATTTAAACTTATCAAAAAGCACTCGACAAATGCTTATTAGTAATATTTATTTGTTTCCAAATTGTTTCAGTTAGAATGGATGCTTCTGATGAACAAGGGTTAAGATGTCCAAAACAAGAATGTCGAAAACTGTTTCGTAAAGAAAATTTATTGATGGTTAGTATTGTTAAATTTCTACAGTATTCCATAATCAAAAGATTAACTGTAATAATATATTATTTTTATTTAAGATGCACATTAAACACTATCATTCTGAATACACTGAATTATTGGTGTCTACGCCAAATGTAACAGATCTTGCAACAGCAAGAATTGAAGGTGAAAATATTGATGAATTATCTCCATCATATTTTCTACACAGAATATCTCAATTGGAAGCTAAAAGAAGCTGGGGGGGCAATACATCTTACGAAACACCTTCACCTAGCGTAATATCTTCATCATTAAAATTGACTGAGTTAGTATTTACCTATTTATTTATTCACAATATCATGTCATATGGTAAAAAATTATTATTTTATAATGAATGGGCATTGAATTTAATGTCAAATAAAATATTTTGCAGACAAGAAATTGGTAGTAATACCACTCTCAACTCTGAAAATTATAACACATCTTTTATTTCCAATGACCAAACCAACAATACAACTCAAGCTTACGATTCTAAGTAATGGTGATACTAATTTATAGATTAATTTATGAGTAATTGTATTTCATTGAATTTTCAGGGATTCTGGATTTTCTGGTATAGTAGAGTCATTCAACTCAACAACTGAAACACCAATTAAAGAATATGCGCAAATAAAAGAAGCTATTAGAAATATAACGTTGATTGATGATTTTGAAAATGAAACTAGAGGTAAAAATCATATTTTGTAAACTAGATTGTTCAAATTGTTTTCGATCTAAAATGTTAAATGTCATTTTATTGTAGACAGTTATGATATGATAAGTATAGGAGGCTCAGACCGGCATTTTAAAATTAAAAAAAATAAATCCGATGTTGAAACTTTGCCAAAAGAAGAGGTGATCAATTGTTCATGTGCTTCAAATCAAGAAGAAGGTTTAATGATTCAAGTATGTCTAAATCATTTTTTTTTTTTTTAATATATTATTCAATTGTTAAAAACTTTTTTTGTTCTACTTTTGATATTGTTTAATATTAATTCATATAGATCTTAATTTAAATTTCTGCATAAAATTACCTAATAATTTATTTGATACATAAAACGTACTACCTGCAGCTTTTTCCACACTTGTGTAACATCTCAACTGTGCTTTTATTCTAGTGTGATATTTGTTTGTGCTGGCAACATGGTTATTGTAACAAAATCAATTCTGAAGATCAAGTACCAGACAACTATATTTGCACTAGTTGTTTGAATCCTTCGAAGAAAAGACGATCAAAACAATACGACTATTCACAAGATTGGATTAAAGAAGGAACATTAGCCAGGTTTGTTATTATATTAAACATTATAATCTATTAAATCAATTATATATGTACAATCATTGTATAAGTTTGTGTATAATTTCCAGTGTTTTACAACATAAAGATGAGCGACGGAGAAAAGATGAGGCTATTTTAAAACAGTCTCATCAGTTAGTAGCTGAGGTGATAGAACACAATAATTATTTACACAGTTTACGAGTTAAAACTACAATTTATGGGTAAGTAAATACATTTCCTAGTAGTATTTTATATTGTTCAAATAATACGGACAAAATAACTATGATTCTCAATAATTTCATCATTCTTATTCTTTTTTTTGTTTTAGTCAAACCCCTGATCATCCTAAACTTTATTTGTGGTCTGAACAAGGTTTAACAAGAAATGAAGAACCTGTTCAAGATAAGCTCGAAGAATGTAAATTCTCTAAATATTATTTTTATACTTATATTTAAGTTTATTTTAACATGTATTTAATATTCAATGTTTTATCAATGGTCTTTCAGTGCTTTCTGGTCCAGTACCTGAAAAACCTATCGATATTTCTGACTGTAGAAAAAATTTACTCGATGAAATTGAAGATGGCTTTGACAATTTAGAAGCCAGAATCAACTTATTTGAAGCCAAAACTAATGGTAGTAAAAGTCACTCGTTATTTAAGTTTTACTGGTGTCTTATCCATTCATTATTATTATATAGGACTTGAAGATCAAGTAAATGGCTGCGTAGATAATGAAGTCTTAACAAATACTGTTACTTTGTTGCTACGAGACTTAAATTCAATCAACCGTCATATGTCATTTGAAAACAATAACAACAAGAAAGAAGAAGAAACGGTTTAAAAAAAAACTGGTTATTTTTGTGGATTCAGTTAGTTACAATAGTGTAACTTTTGATTTTGAGATAAACCCTTTGAGTATCATAATATTAAATTTATTATTGGAATGTATTAAAGGTAACATAATTGTTTGACAAAGGTTCTGACTTTAATTAGTGTTTTGTAGTTGTATTAACACAATTTCATATGTTAAAACTGCTCCAGCAACCTGTAAAGAAAATTGAAAATTCCATATGTGATGAACTCATAAATTTACCATTTTCTCAAATTTATCTTACCCCCAAAAGAAAGTTTCTTGTGATTGAAAACATTTTTAATCCTGTTAGAGCAACATAATCTGATGTGACTTCTTGTAAAAATCTTTGTGTCTTAAAAATAAAATGATAAAGTAATTTATTTAAATTTAATTATTTTTTATTGTATTATATACAGAAATATATGTAATTTTTGAATATTTATAAGTAAACAATAAATGTTATGAATTGATTAAAAACTGAGTATAGTTTTGTACTCTTAAGCCTTCAATACTACTTTTTTTATAATATTAAATATTTTAACTTTTTAGCGCAGTTATACACCTATTTATATTCTTTACAATAATTTATTTGTGCTATAATATGTATTTACTGGCTGGCACAGAAGGTGCAAGATATATTATATTTTGTTAAATATATTAATTTTTATGATAGATTATTTAGTTGCCAGTTAAATTTATAATGTTCCTACAAAATAAAATATTGAAAAATATTTGTTTTTTATGAATTATTATCAGGTATTTTATCTTAATTTTTTATTAAGTGGACGCCACACCTGCTTAATAATATCGTCTCTGTCTCACTAACATAAATGTACAACATAGCAAATGTTACCTACACTCACAGTAATCTATTTTAGTCGGTAGTTTTTAAAACTACCTTTTATAAAATATTAAAATGTAAGAATGGGATTTTCGCACCTCATTTTATTGATATTTTAATTTTGAAACAAGTTATAATCATTTATAATTTACAAAAAATATATTATTTTGAAATACTCATAACTTACTCTGTAGTTAAAATATCAATAAAAGCATTTAAGATTCCCTAGATAATAATCTTGTCACCTGATCCCATTGCGAAATGAGATCAGGTACCTCGGTGCTATTCTGGACAAGCGTCTGACTTTAGCTGCACACGCGAGTACCGTCGCTGCGAAGGCGGCCCGTTCGGCGGCTGCGCTATCCAGGCTCATGCCCAACATAGGCGGATCAGCACAGTGGAAGAGGAGACTGCTCGCGTCTGTTGTGGAAAGCCAGTTATTGTTGTACGCTGCTCCCGTGTGGATCCCTTTCGTTAGGTCAGACAGAAGTCGCCAGAACTAGAGCGATCTTGATCCGTCCGCAGAGGACCGCCGCCTTGAGGGTAATGCGGTCCTACCGCACCGCGCGTGTCGGACGAGGCCGCCCTGGTTTTGGCCCGTATGCCGCCCGTTGATCTGCCTGGACTGGAGAGACAGTACATCGGATCCCGACTGCGCGCCGTAATGTACCTAACCTTCTAAGGTGGCCGTGAAACTTGAGGCAAGAAAAACCACGATCGTCGCCTGGCAGGCGAGATGGCTTGCCACCCCGAAGGCGGCCTGGACGCGCCGCGTCATCCCTGACCTGGCAAGATGGCTAGGAAGGACTGTCCCGTGGGTGCCTCCGAAGTTCCACATGACACAGGCACTCACGGGCCACGGCTGTTCCGTATGGTACCTCCATCGCACGAACAGGGCCGCTAGCCCTCGTTGCTGGCAGTGTTCGGGCGAATCAGACACCGTTGAACACACGCCGTTCGATTGCCCCCATTGGGACGGCTTTCGTGAAGCCCTGAGCGCCAGGAGTGGCCATCGACCGAGCACCGACGACGTTTCGGACATCATTTGCGGACCGGCGTTCGAGCTCTTGACGGCGGACGCTCACGGGAAATATGCGATCCTGAGAGAAGCCGAAGAGCGGTTCAGGCTATTCTACGGCATGGTGGAAAACATCCCTACGGTCAAGGAAGAAGGAGAACGAGTGCGGCAGGCTGTGAACCGACGGAATTCAGCATAGAATATTGTTAGCTGAAAATTGATTTGTAGCCTAAGGCAATTAGTGAGGGCAGAGCTCCGCCGTTTTATTATACATATAGTCCAATTTTGTTTGTAATAGCAGCGAGTGAGGGGGGATTGGCCCGCCGTTGTTAATTGTTGTGTGTTTTTGTTTTTGACAATAAACGATGGTGGCTGGAGCCTGGAGGAGAAGTACTGGCACCATAGTTCCTCCTCCAGTCCTCGATACCATAATAAAAAAAAAAAAAGATAATAATCTTGAATTAAAACTACAATAGGTCACTCTAATTTTTTTTTTTTTTAAACAGTAAAATGGATTATTGTGAATGTACAATTTGCCGTGCATGTTTGTTAAGACTGAGACAATACATACGTTGTGTGTGGCACCTTTTTATAGTTTTTTTGTTTTATATATAAAAACCGTTTATAGTGAATTTAATGATTGATGAAAACTATAAACCAAGATTTTTTAGTTCTTGGCAAAAACAGATTAATTATTCATACAACATAACTGAGAACAACGTCTTGAAGTAGCAAGTTGTTTATTTACGATAAGTATTAAGTTTGATTAGTGATAATCGGATAATGTGTCTATTGTAGGTATCAGCACCTGTAATCAGTATTATAAAAAATAAGAGTACTTTTGAACACGGCATTAGATGTTCCCAGGCTTGGATCCAGAACTAAAATTAGGGTGAAAGGGTCAGTTTTTCGAAAAGACAAAAAGATAATACACAATTAAAAAATAATGAAATTCAATATTAAGAGGTTTGGTAGCGATCAGTTATTTTAGCCAAAACATACCAACCTTTTGTCCTTCATACTGATCGACCTAGTAATGCGATAATACTTTTGAAAACTGATTTCATTCTTTATTATGTCTACTTGATATCCGTCAGTCCACTTTTCCCAATTTCACTCCTAACTCCTATAAATTTGGTTTGAATATTTCAAAATGTAGACTGGCCGACCTCAAGTACCTGTACTTAACGACGAATTCAAACCAGTTTTCAAAAGTGTTATTGCATTACTAGGTCGATCAGCAAGATACTAGGATGGACAAAAAGTACATTAATTGTATTATACAAATGAGCATTAATTGTTAACCGTTCGCTCACTCAACGCCGAGGCGTGACTAATACAGTTATACTTGCGCGTTATTTTTACCATTGATTTTATAATATTACCTATTACCGATACTGTATTATTATGAATTTATAAAATAAAACCAATGCTTTTTTGCTCGAATGATACAACTTGCCTATTTTGAACTCCTAAAACCTGTCTGCCACCAATCCTCGTATACCTGCGAAAACACGACGGAGGAGTCCAGTCTCCTGACGTTTACATCAAATGCAAAATGAATAATAATGTGATACTTCTATAATAAACATAAAATATTAAACACGTCAAAATTCCCTTACGTCCTTAATAGGACACTACACCCGCATGTGTTGTCTCCGTCTTACAAACGTACAACATATGAAAAACTGTTTTGCACGAAATAGAACCACTCAAGCTGTAGTCCAAGCCAAGCAACCAAATTTTCACACTATAAACAAGAAAACATTTATTGTGCAACATTGTTTTTATTTTTTAGATATAACAAATACCTACGAGAAAAGTTTTTATTGCTTATAAATTAATTATTTCAAACTTTTATAACTTTTCTTGTATCTGTGATATCGATAAAATAAAAACGATGTTGCCCAGTAAATGTTCTCTTCTTTACAGTGTGAGAATTTGGTTGCTTGGCTTGGACTACAGCTTGAGTGGTTCTATTTCGCGCAAAACAGTTTTTGATATGTTGTACGTTTGTAAGACGGAGACAGCGCATGCGGGTGTAGCGTCCTCTTATAAAGATTCCTTACGTCGTGCATGATATTTTGTCATAATAGTTACTAAAAATAATGTCAATACGGACCGGACTTGCGATTAGCCAGCCAAGGGTAGACGCACCTATATTACCTACGGGTTGAAACAAGGCCAATACATATTGGATAGATCTATATGCGTATATCACGCTTATTCTGTGCTCGCCTCTGACCATATACTACTAGACAAGAACTCTGTGTAACAACAGCATTACGAACGGCGTAACAACATCTCGCAGTGATGTGGCCTGTTTTGACGACAAAATACATTTGTCTATATTTATCTATATTATCCCAATATCCCGCACTAAAGTGCGTGTGAGTTATCGAGTACCTAGGTAATCAAAAAACGCCCTCTACGTTGTTACTACGCTTTCCATTTACACTCATTGCTTGTCTATCGTCTATGGCCCCGACTTCTTTATTGCGCATGTAGCCATGTAGGTATGTATTATCTGAGGGTTGAAATTAATCTTGTCTTTTCGAAGATTTAAGATGATTTCTGTATTAGGTATATTATATTTACTCGCCAATAATATATTATCACCAATCGATATTTAATATTCTTAGAAGTTGGATGGAAATTATGATTTTATATTTTTAAGAACTACTGAAGATGTAATATAAATGTTAAATGAATACTATTTTGGGAGGTTTTTTTTTGGATAGTCATTTTTTATATTTTTGGAGGCCTCTACACTCAGTCTAATCTGTCGTTATTTATTTTTATTTATTTTATTTTTATTTATCAATTCATCAATTGATCTTATTGTTCTATTTTATTGTAACAGATTGAATAAAAATCCTTTAATAACAAAAAAAAAAAATGTATAATATTATTATAGGTTGTCTATAAAAGTTGTATAAAAAAATTATTTAAAATTAACTGATTTTTAAACATTTTTAGTGCAAAAAGAAATCTCAGTAAAAAAGTTAATAAAAAATTGGGTATTTATACATATTTATAAATTAAGAATGTTAATTTTCAACTAAACATAAAGGACCTAATCTTGATGGTTTTTTTATCATGATGACCCCTCCCCCTGGATCCACGCCTGGATATTCTATGACCATGCTTTTGAATAAACTGATATTTACACATGATACATAATATATGTGCACTAGTCAATTAACAACTATCCAGACATGTTGTTCAATTAAAAACTAATTTAAATATTGATATTGAAGAGCGTTTTAAAATCATACTTCTATGCTATAACTATGCGTTGGACACATAAAAATTTCTGGCACAATTTTTTTGCTCTCGTCGTTTATAGCGGACGCTTGCATCACGACTGCAGTGGTCCGAAACACCAAAAACATAAACGAGTACATGTAGAATAGCGTTCTGAAGTAGCTGTGTTTGATGGAACTGGTGACAATAATGATTATTGAATAATGATTAGTGTGTTAGCCTGGTCGTAACGTATTTTACACGTTACACATGCACGGTGATTTTATAATCATGCTCGTCCAAGTACAAGTTAGCGGCTATAATAGATCCACGATATTTTAATTTACCGACAATTAAAATATCGTAAAAATCAGAGAGAGAATACGGATAATGTTCTTACTTAGTAGTTGGTTTGATAATAGCGGCCAATTCACTCTAATCTTTGAGCTAACAATACAAAATTAGAACTTCTAGACGTATATTTTGGTATAATAAGCGTTAGTACGACATACCTCAATAATAATTTAAATGTAAGAATATTCTCCGGGGTCCCACATAGGCTTTGTATGAAATTGTCATTTGGAAGCAAGTTATATATAAAATAAATTACAATTTTAAAATACATCAAATAACTTACTTCAAAATTATAATATAAAAAAAAAAATCTACGTGCGCCCAATTTGCTATTCCACTCGATATAATCTTTGTCCTAGAAAACGTATGGCTTACTGCAGGCTTATTAAGCATTAGGTAAAATGGGACGAGTCACGATGGTATGCTTATAAAATCACATTGTGTATTATGATTTATGTTGTGAGTATAATAAAATAGCCTCACTCGATTTCCGTAATGAGCTGAGCGCAAATGAAATAAATGTTGCTGCCTATCGACAACGCCACTATGACGTTGATGTGATCGTCGATTTTCTTGACCAGGTGAGTTAAGGACGTGTACGTCTCTCGGTATTCCTGCCACTGCGACATTGTCAGCATCTTTCGAACGACGTGACCGGTAACGAGAAAAGTCGATATTAATCATTATTTACGCGTCACTGGCGCAAAACTTTATCACATTATGCTCCTAATTACCATGTTTACCGTTTGGCGCTTATCGACGCATATAATAGGTATGAGCAATAAAAATGCATGGCATGTATATAACGTTTACACCGTAATATCACAGTTACCAATAGTTAGGTATTCATGATGTTTATATAAGCTTATAGGTAGGTAAGTATAAATTACAATATAATCTTTGTCCTTTGGAGTACCTAATAAAGTCGACTTAATAATAAGTAAGGCGTTGTCTCGTCGACAACATCCCGGTATCAATTCTGTAAGATCCCGCCACTCAAAAAATGGACGTTACACGCATTTATTTTTTGAGGATAGTTTTAATTAATATGGGTATTTGTATACTCATCAATTGGTTTAGTTACCTATTTACGAGTACATTGAGGTACATCACAAAAACATCGTACATTCATTTATATCATATTTTTTGGATTTAAAAACATTAAAAAACATCGACACTCACTTGACCTCTGACGCTATGCATGGACTTGGTAAGTTTCTTAAACTGAGCCGCCAGTGCTGAGCTGACCAACATGATGAAGAGATCGGTGAAATTCCACAGGAACGTCGCAGTCAGGCTCAACCACATTACTAAGAAGCCTTTTACCGGATTGTAACTGTCATAGTCGTCGTACAAGTACCAATGCGTTTTTAGAGAGAACCTCTCGAGATACCCTGTGAACGTCGCCTGTGTATGCACAATTCATATAAATCCACTGTCATTGATTATATGTATACATTTTAAAATATGATATAGAATATAGATCCAACTTTACTTATTTTAACATAATGTTATATTACGCGTGTCGCGTGTGCGTGTATCGTGTGTAGTGTGCAAATATTAAATTTGAATTAGTATTATCGCCTATAGGATACCTAGGTACTAGGATAGTACCTAAATAAATATATTACATTATAATAAAACTTAAAGGAAATATTTATGTTTTATAAATTATAAGTATTTGTACTAAATAGATACACGCGGATCGGGGTCGGATTAAAAGTTGGTCGAGGAGCACCTGTTCCCAGAAGCCAGTTTTCTTAAGAGCATTTCAATTTTACAAGGTTTTATTGTCCTATACAATATATATTTTATATTATTTTTATAATTTTTTTTTATTATTATCAATAGGTAATAATAAATTATTTTGATTTAAATCAACGAAACTTAGGTATACTGATATACATACATTTAAAATTTTATAATTTGTGTACCTATCGGGTACCTATAGCATATTAACATGCAATGGTTATGTAGTTACTAGTTAAATAGTTATACTATACTATATTTTAGATTTAGGTTACAGTTGTACAAATATTTTTAGTTTTTTTACAACTATATATAGGTACACAAACATATTTTTTTGGTTCTTACAATAATAAATAGGATGGAATGGACTATTTTAAAACACCTATTAGTGATGACAACATCGTTGTAGTCTGCGTCTATTAGATGGGTCGTTTAGTCTGTAGTGTTGTGTGGATCGCATGGATTGTATGTGCAGATTCAGTAGATGTTTTTATCTAACTGAAGAACCTTATCAATAGGTCCCAAATTTATGCGATTTTGGTATTGTTGGTATTTGAACTCTGTGTGCAGCGCATCATTATGAACGAATCAGGGAGTTAATTTTTAAATCATGCGTAGGATTCTTTATTTTATTTATGTGGGTTGGGGCACATTTTCCCCAGACAGCATGCTGTAGTAATAACTAACAGGTAAAGTAGTCGAATAATTTAACTATAAAATAACAATGAACACTTCTAGCTCAGTGAAGTTTGATGATTGATAGTGGATAATATAATATTTTAAAATTGTGTAGTCTTGCTGTATTATGGCCATCGAGAATTAGATTTATATTGTTATGGGCTTACGTGGTGCAAAAAGAACACTGCGCACACAGAACTATGATTTTTAAGCATTTCGGTAATAAATATAAGCGAGCACAACATTACCCATTACGATTAACGATGCACGGAGACTATAGGTATTAGGTATTATACATTATTATTTACTATAAACCGCCTAATTTATTTATTGTGTTCATTTAGTTAATTATTAAATATGCTTATGTGCGTATATTGTACATAAATTATTGTTTATATTTCAAAGGCAGGAAATACGTTCAAGGTATCTACAAATATTATACAATCATCGCAAATAACTAATGGGCATATCAAATATATATTTATGTATTATGTATGCATGTAAGTACACTATACATACGGACTGATCGAGAAGTATAAGACTGCCATTATCATCGTTGTCGATCAGCGACATGGAAGCAATGTCGTCTTTACCACCGGGCCTCGTATTCAACCAATTATGTAAGCCATGTTCAGCTGAAATAGTGTGTATACAATCACTGCATAGTTGATAATATATGAATATAATGATATTTATACATTTATTGATATGGTTTGGTTCAAACCTGATATTATATTTTATAAGTATAAATGTAAAACGGGTACTATAGTCTATAATACCAATACAAATATTAAAAAGAATTCTTGCATATGAAGGGTCATTGAGGAGAAGTCGGTTGGAAAAACACCGTTAGGTAGACCACAGTTAAAATGGGAAGACAGAATAAAAAAGGATGTATAGAAGCAATAATATCGAACGGAGGTCGAAGAGAGTTGTCAATGACAGCAGATAACTGACTTTTATGTGAGAAACACACCAGAATGTATTGTCTTCGTCTTACAAATGTACAATGTACCTACAACACTTGAACACGGCACATTTTCGTTCAGCCTGTTTCAATTTTGTGTATCTAGTAAGCTTTAACAGGTAATAGAGCGAATTGACCTAATATCAAATCTGATAACTGGATCTGCGAACACAAATTTTACTGTTGCAATATTGTTTGTATGATACCGAGACAACTCATTTGGGCGTGGCATCCTCTTAAGTCTATATTATTATAAATAAGTACTTACTGAACGCGAACACTAACAATACCACAGCCAAAGTAGTCGATTTCCACCCGAGTCTTGGAGCACCAAACCTCCTCATCGAAATCTCTACTGACCGCCAGTCCTGCATCAGCTTAGGCCATTTCTTAGCTAGTTTCATGAACATCCACAGTGCGCAACACGCGTTACCATAAAATATACTTCCCGATGTGGCTTTTTTTATCCCTCCTGCAGAGGCATCGTTGTATATTTTAAGATCAATTATAAATATTATTAATAATCATATTATAATATTATAACTAATATAACTAGATGCAAAAAACGTTCCAACACCCAACCTGACCTAAGTACCAACTATAAGGATTTAGGCAACAGCGCTCTTTTATAAATAGGTACATTTTGAATACAGGTGAAATTATTGAGAATTGTGAAAACGAAAATCAAAATTAAACGGCACCATCATTTTAAATTAATGCTGTCGCTTATAAACAGTCATACAGTGACACTAATGACTTTTAATGATTTCCCCAATGGGCGCCAATTTATAACATTTAAGGTCTATAGCCAGGTTAGGTCATATTATAACTACATAAAAATAATAATTATAATATATAATATATTGGTGTAGAATATAGCTCGTGCCTTTTGCGGTTAGATTGTCTTGGTTCAAGTTTCGTATGGTATAGTCCAACGAGAATATTTCAATGGACACGAATCCACAGAACAGGAGAATCGAGTAAATAGCTATCGGATAATACCAGCGAAACGTCAATTTGTAGACATCTCGACGGTATATGCTGCTGACCGGGAAAACGCCAAATATCGACGCAAATGTCAACACGTACCGAATGTAGTAATGAACTCCGGTCCTAAATCGATAATGAAAACATAACGAAACGGGTTCAATTAAATATTAATCATAACAATCACATATAAATATTTAGACACAAGTTGCAGGTATGATTTTACTGTAATACTATGTATAATGTCCCAATAACAAAGCAATTATAGATAGGTATAGGTTACCTACATATATATGGGTGGCAAACCTATAATGGCACTTGAAAGTTGAAACGCGTACGGCGTAGTGGCGTACCAAAGGTGACACATTAACCAAATTTTAATGGCACTCGAAAATATTTTCATTTCTTTATTCAATCTCGCATTTTATGAAAATAAAAATTGTAAAATAGTTTCTGAATTGTTTCTAAACAGTTAAGTTACTAAATATGCAATTTTGAAAGTTTGAAACTTAATCCAGACATATTTTATTCTTTGGAAAAGTGGCTCATTCCAATTGAGTACACTGAATATTCGAGTCAACATTTACTGCAGTTGTGAAAGTTTACTTTCCACAATGAATTCGATCAAATCAAAACAGAGGAATAAATAATAATAGGTGTATTATAACATATTTTCAAATTGTTAAAATTCACTCCTATCAATTAATGTTTAGCGACGACTCTGGCCTCTGAGACCCAGATGCCCAGCTATATAGGTAGTATTCGTCGATAGTGTTTCAGAAGCATAATAGGAGGAGGGAATTTAATTTGTATAATACAACTACCTATTGATATTTGATACTCTTGATATACTCATTACTCATACTCAACGCACCCCAACCTGCAACACATCAGCTTTTTGAATTTATTTTTTCAATAACAATATTTATCTAATTTTTTTTTGTTGCTATTTTCATAATAATGTATTCCAATACCTTTAATCTTTATTATGATGTATAGATTTCAGTAAATAAATCAATATAGCCCCTTGGTCACATACTATCATACCGGCTGCAGATACCAAACATAATATTGTTGTGGTGATGGTGTGAACTTTTTTTCCACGAGGCCAATATAGATGCTAAAGGTGGACCACCTCCACCTAAATCTTTTAACGCAAAGCAGTATGTTGTGTGTAATAATATGTCATATCTTATAGCTCAGCGTTTCCCAAAGTGTGTTCCGTGGGACAATGTCAAGGGTTCCGTTAGATATATGAGATTATTGAGAAAATTATGTTTATTTAATGTTTGTTGTTTAAAAAATGTTTGATTGAAAATTTTTTTTTAAACTAAGTTTAATAATGAAAAGTCATTAACAGTATTATTAAAATATTATTTGGACTTGAGAGTTTAAGGAATTGATTTTCCTTTTTTAATTTACAAAAATTGTAGTTGAGTTGGATTAGACATTAGGGTTCCGAGAAACACAAACAATTTTTTAAGGGTGCCGTGGTCGTAAAAGTTTGGGAACCTCTGTTATAGCTGAAGGGTCCCACATGAAATACCCTATCACATCGCCACTGGGTATAGATATCTACCTACAAAATGTACATTTCTCTCTGTTCCCAATGTTCCCATACACATAATGCTTTCGACGGAGACTAACTTGTTAAGATATTCGTTGAATTCTTTTGCACTGTACTCTTGCGCGGACATCGTACTCGGGCTCACAGAGTTGTGTTTGTTCCTTCTGATATCGTGCACGGCCGACATGATGGTGATTCTCGGCCGAAATTTCATTCCACCCGAACGGCATGCACGGCTGTATGGCAGCAATAAAGTCACTTCGGTCACCCGCGGTTACGTGGTGCGCCGGTCTGTGGTCACATGATATACCTATATTATGTTTAGGTACATAATATTATACCATAATATGTTCTCGTGATTGTCTCGGTGGTCTATTTTACGATATTCAGGTACCTATTAGCACGCACTCCGTCGTAGGTACTCTTCATAAAAAAGTTATGAGTATACAAGCCTATACACCTACCTACCTGTCGAGTATATATATATAGGTTAGGTACCTACATAAAACATTTAGGCGTGGACATCGTGACAACGATAAATAATAATTATATCACCCCGGCGGATACTAAGGTTGAATTATAATAATCGCAGTAGGTATACATATATATATGTATATTATTACATAGATTGTATCGGCATTTTTTGTTAGCTTACATTTACGACATAACTATATATATATATATGTATATGTGTACCCGCGTTATATTATTTTATAAACCTATACATATACAATATACATATTAAACATTTGTACATAATGTAGTACGGGGCCCAGAGGCCGAGGGGGCCACCTGTAAATTGGCCCCCGTTTAAACGTCATAATAATGTACATATTGTATAGTCAGAAAGGAGAAGTTAAATTATATAATTAAAAAATGCGAGCACGTGCCACTCCATAATTTAAGTTGAACACGCGAACGGTTTTAACACCAAGCGTGCATTATTAATATGTGAAACAGAATATTAATAATAACTTATTATACAGAAATAAACGGCGGTTTGATGCGATGGACAATGATCGCGTCATTTTTGTCGTAGGTTATACTTATATTTATTGTTGTTGTTTTGAAGCCGCAGCTATAAAACAGAAATTAATATTATATTATACTAATATAATATATTGTTTATAAATTATATTATAGTAAAGTATATGAACACCTGGACAAAGGTGAAAGGGCTGTAGCCTATAGGTTACTGGTTACTAAAACGTTTTACATATTAGTAAATATATGTAATATTAAAATGTATAATGAGAATGTATTGAAACAATTCTATAGACTTCACTGAATTCATTCAAAATCGAGGTGATGTATACTGTGTAGAACAGAATAATACAATGTATAATGTATTATATATTCATCAAAATCAAGTAAATTATACATGCCTATAATTATTAACCATTAGGTATTGTACTTTGTGTGTTTAATTATTAATTACATTTTAGATTTTGAACTGAGCGATGAACGTAACGGATTTATAATAACATTTATTTTTTTCCTGTCATCGCCTTTTACCTTTTGGAGAATTAATAATACTCCAATTTTTAATATTAAGGGTGATTACTGCTGGAAAATTGATTATTGTTGATAGGTATATACTTTGATAGATACTATAGGGTTTAGGACCTACTTAGTGGAATATATTTTATGACAGTCTGCTGAAAATAAATACACCGAATGGCACGTGTATATTATAGCTTTTTCAGAGGATTTGACTGTGGTTGCGGTCGCCTAATTGATTGAAGAACGGTACACTCGATGCTCCCCTAAGAACACCCATGAATCATAAATTCATGAACCCGAATTACGTCTCACCTACATCAATACTGAAATGATAATGCTTACACAGTTACATGGAAGCGCACTTGGCACTTCAGGAACCCTATGCTTACAGTAGGGGGCATAGAGTTCTTGTACTGGGGAGTGGGGACAGTGAAGTCTTGAAGTAGGTACCTATGCCTAACCTATGCCCACATTGGCGTAAACCATGTTTTTGGCTTAGGATATTTTGGTATGAGACTGTTTTTGGCGTACAAAGTACAAACATGGTCAAGGTTGTAACAAAAATTTGAATTTTTAAAATAAGTATAATTAATAAAAAAAAAATTAATTTAGTAAAAACTCATATTTTGAGCTATGACTCTTTATAAAAACTAATTAGGTATGCAGCGGCTGTTGTAATCCCCTACAATTAAAACAATTCTTTTGTCGACATAAAATATTTTTTATTCTTTTTTGGAGGACTTTTTCTAACTTATAGTTGTTGACTGTTGTTAACATGTAACACGTCCTGATTGAACCTTTTAAAAGTTTGTAATAAACATTAATAAATTAATATTTCGAATAGGGAATGCTCTTTACTTGAGACATTGTCGATTACAACTGATTAGATGAATATATTTCGACCAACTGGTTGGTGAATATAATAACAGTATACTCGTACAAACAACAGACCTACTGCAAACATACTGCAAGTACCTGCAGTGGTCTTGTAGTCTACAAACATTTTATATCACCACCACATATGTTTAAAAAAAATGTTTTAAAATTATTTATATGTTACAACACACATATTGTTATGATAAATATACGTCAAAGCTGGATTATGTCAATGTGAGCCCCCCCCCTCATCGAGGCTGTAATTCTTAAATTTGTATTTTGTAAATAACAAAATTACAAAAAAACATATTATAATATTATGTTATGTTTTCTGAAAAGTGAAAATAAGTTTTGCTTTTAAAGATTTTAGAGAATCCTTACTTAGGTAACCTTACACGGTGGTACACTGGTAACTGAATATACCTTGAAACTGTCAAGTCTTTATCTAACATAGTTTCGGCTCTACGTTAGGTTAGGTTATAAGTACCAGAAAGTGAATATTAAATTGGTAAAAATGAAAATGATTTTTATATTACATACATTTATGATTTATGTTATCAAAATGTTTGTGAACATAGTGACTATTATAGTGAAATGGCCACATCTGCACAATTGTAATAAAATAAGATATAAATTAATTGTTTGGTAAAATATGTGTTGTTAAAGGTGCGTTGTTTGCGATCGAAGCTAGCGGCTTCGCGTGGGTGTGATTAGGTGTTTTAATTATTTTCCTTAGTTTTTCAATGATGACACTTGGGCTTTTGTTAGAATAACCACCTTTATTTTCTAAACTCTACGCCACTTCTAAAAAGACATAATTTACGATAAAAAAATACGCCTAATACCTACATATTGTATACTTTATTAACACTAGTGTAACACACTATATTTGTTTTACCGAAACTTAAACTTTGTGCTTCAATCGAATTCGATTAATCAATTCCTCGGAATATAATAATATAAATTATAATTTAATATAATCACACTACTATGATATTGTTTCGTCTTTAGATTGGCGCGTAATGACATTTTTTAATAGGTATAAGCAAAAGTGATTTGAGGGTAAAAATATAAATTATATTTTGAGAAATATTGTTGATCATAAAAAAAAATATTTTAGTATTCTATTATGAAATAAGAATTTTTTTTGTTTTTAATAAATAGAACAATGTTTTCCCATGTACTTCCGTGATCAATGTAGGCACTTATACTTGTCAATAATGTTACCTACTCTCAAATTAGACTAAAAAATACACACGTAAACAAAATATTTCTCAAGCGTTACCTATTCGTATAATCTAAAAAAGTATATTTTACCTGAGAAATAAGAAAAATAAATTAATTCGAAAGTTCCATGTTAAATTTGCAGGATAATAATATGTGCAAAAGAAAAATGAAACTTTAAAAAAAAAAAACTAACTAAAAAAATTGAAAATTAAAAACGTTTTTAAATAACTTAAAAATAGTCTAAATATTTTGAAAATGTTATCATTTAAAAAAATAATAAAATAAACATGTGATGAAAATTTCTAGCACCTATGGTTAATATTTTTTGATGAACAACAAAATAAGAAAATCGTTGTATGAGAATTCGTTAATTTACAGGAGGTATTTTTTTTTTAGATTAAGGTAAAGCAATTTGTAAGGAACCTAATTTTAAATTTTCAAATCTTAAGATATAAAAAAGAAATTTTATGTGAATTTCTACAAACAAAAAATTCGCAAATTTTCGTGATTTTTACGAAATTTGATAACATTTAAACTTTAGACACTCATGAAGACTTAGTTAAGCTCAAATTTTTTTTCAAATTTCCACTATCAATTTATGAGGAATCTTGTAATACGATTGCAAGTTTTTTTATCGTCATTAATTAAAAAAAAACCAATAAAATTGCATATGCCTATATAGGCTATAGCTCAGCATAAGTCGAAATATTTTGAAAATGTTATAGTGTACGAAAAATGTTTAAACTAACATAATAATAATATAAATATAATATTCTGTGAAAATTTCATATTTTATTTAGAGTTTATTTGGTTAAAACACAAAATCGATTTTGTAAAAACCAATTTTGCGTAAAAATTCGTTTTTTTCTGAATTTTTTTTTTTTGTTTTGTCTGGGGTTTTTGAAAATTACTGGGAATTTTAAATTTATACTTCCCAAATGCATAAACTAGATTCACTTTCCCACCGGAAAATATTCTGAAGGTGAAAGCATTATTTCGACTGCCTATCGTATAAAAACACACATCATTTGAAAATCAATACATTCATCACTCCACTCAGAATCTAAAATACTGTATTATTTAACAAAATGATTATTTTTATTTTTTAAATATACTTTGTATGAACACATGATCGCGCATAAAAGGACAATAGTACAAACTTGTGACAAAAATGTATAACAATAACTTATTCTAATTTAACTACACTTTAACAAATACTATGAATAAAATGAAATTGTATTGATTGTATACTATAAAAGATTATAAAAAAAAAAATAAAAACAAATTATATCAAGTATAAACAATTTCCATTAATATGTATGGTATTATTAGTACTATTAATTATTATAGTATTTAGTACAAAATTAAATAAATCATTGAGTAATAATATAAAATACTCTGAAAGATAATTCAATCACACTTATCCAATACTCTGGATACAATTTTTAAATAAGAAATATTAAAATCTAAACACAATTACAACACTAATCCAGTGGTCCATGACATAAAAATTAATAAAAAAAAATTGAAGTAATCTTAAAAAGTATGGTAAAAATGGATTGCAATGGAACAATGCAATACATGTAAAATATGGTTAATAAAATGGCTTTTATTCAATTTTAAAGCACCTTAATATTAATTCTAAATTTTTTTACAGACTTTCAGTTCTATCAAGAGCGTACGTATAGAGTGAATTTCAGTTTAGGGAATCAGATATACCTAGTAAATAACTGTATTATAATATATTTCTTTGTTAGTATATTGCCTGAAATTGTAGGCCAGTTTCTCCCATTTAATACGCCCTCGAGTAATATTTTACAAAATAATAATTTATTCATAATTATTCTAAAATCAAACATATAATTAATGCAATGAAAGAGAGAAAATAACTTGATTTTACTTATTTTAAATCTGAAAAATGAAATTGTAAAATGTATGCGAAATTCAGAGGCTCCTAATTTATTATTATGATGCTGTCAATTTAGTTAATAAAATTGGTCATAACATAAAATTATAAAGTGTATTTTACATATTAATTCCATATAAAATATAAGGTTTGGAAGATGTAGTGATAACAATAATAAAACATGTGAATATTCAAATCTCAAACTTAAGTACTTTTGTTTTTATGTACGTGAATTTGTGTCTGTGCATGACTATATAGATTTTCTCAATATTACATGTATTGTAAAATTAATGCACAATAATAACAAAGCTATGCGGCTAGGATCTAGCATTCTGACGTCCAGCTGTAAATCGGATAACAGATTTGCTGCAAAGATCTTTGGTTACATAATATATTGTCTTAATGAATGTACATACTCTCATGATTACAGATTTAGTTGACTGCATATATCACATACGCGAAGCTCGTTGTTGCAATTCCTGTAAAAAGTATACATAGTTTGGCTAAATGTATAACAAATTAATCTTATAAAATTCTATGACAACCAAATTTAATAATTTCACCTCATAAATAATTTTTTATACATGTTTAATAGTTTTTAAGTTTTTAATATGTTTTCAATGTGTGGACATTTATGTATTATTGTAACAAGCGTAACAATTTTAGGTATTATTTTATATTATTCTGACAAGAAAAGAAGATTAGATGAATGTTATAAATATAAAGTATACAAAAAGCGAGCTGTAATCAAACTCAAAGAAACAGAAGAATTAAAATATAGATTGTTGGCGTTCCCTGCATCAAACAAAACGAAACACATAAAAAAATTTGTGATTCTAGAAGTATATGACATTATTGCATAACTATAATATGTAGTAAATGAAAAAAATACAATCCTTCAATATTTATGTATTACAGATTAAAAAAGGTGAAGAATATATGGGGCATAGAAACTATAAGAAAGCAACAGAACATTTTGCAAATGGTTTGAGTTTGATAGATTATGATTATAAGCTCGTTAATATTTTATATAAAAATGTGCCACTGAAAATGTATAGAGAAATAAAAAATCAGATGCAAAAAATACAAATTATGTTACCAAAGATGAGAATGTTAAAATCTTAATAAATTACCTTTGCTTTATCGGTTGATTCAGTTTTTGGGGAGTCAGCAACACCCTCTTCTCTAGATACAACACACAGGAATTCTGCTTGATCATAATTTCCATAGTTGTACTTAGATCCTATGTTTACCAACTAAATACAAATAGTAAAGATATTAAAGTATAACACACTTATAATTTATTCTTGCACATAATTAAAATATATAGCATACATAGTATATAGTATTATTAAAGCCTAAAGGTACTTATGGGTTATTTCAACTAAAACCACGTTCACGCGACTACCTAGGAGCCGAACGCACACTACATTGAACATCATAATAACACGTTTATAATTATACAAAACTACTCATTGTCATTATCAGCTTATAAAGCTAATATCAATGTAATTATTATAATAAATTGCTACGTAACACAAAGGTAATATATAATTTACAAAAAAGTAAAAGTAAATTGTATAAAATTGGTAACTTCATGTTTTAGTTATCACGTCAATGTAATTAGTTTAATTATTATTATTTTTATATTTTAATTTATTATTAATAGTTAATTTTTTTACGAGATATCAACAGGCATGTTAAATTTTTTTGACAAGTTTTAACATTGCACTTCCAAAATACTTGTTTTCCAAAATACAGTTTTGAACAGATTCATTTTTGTGGTAAAATGCCTTTTTCTTGAAAAAATTGGAAGTTGGTAAGCTCCACAGATCCATTGCCAAATATGTAAGTATAAAAAGAACTGTAAGACAGCAATTACTACTAACAGTGTAACAGCATGGTCAAGACTAAGTATTATGACGTTATAGTCAAAATACCAAAGTCTACTGTCCTAAAAGTTACCCAGCCAGTCTATCGAAATATACAATAAATACTATGTAATAAAGCCGTGCTCTAAGCAAATCTGTCAATTGCGATAAGTGAGATTGTATAGGATTCACTTGCAAGATAAAAGTAGGAGACGGAATGTGGTAGTCGTTACAAACCATATGTGGCATGGAGGTAGTAGCAATAACCCATAAGTGTCTTAGTAAATAATGATTACTAAGATTACTGTCAAATATTAATATATCATACTAAAAAACATTAAAAACTTAGCTATTTGAATAACCATTTAGGGATTCATCATTTACGGTGAATTTGAAATGTCTAATAGGAGGAATTTGTGAAAAAGGTTAGACAGTAAGTTAAATACATTTTTAAACTTAAAAAGTTACAGTTAGTAACTTTAAAAGTTTAAACGTTAAGCGATAGTGACATTATATTGATATAATGGGTGAGCCATCAATATTGTCTTTCAGAAGATTGGAGGAAAGATACATTTTGCCAATGATCACTGGATCAGCTTGATTATTCAAGACAAAGGCACAGTGAGTAATGGGTTTGGGGTATTTTCCATGATTGTACATTTTTTTTGTAGATGAAAAAGCTTAAGCTTTTAAGAACTATGTAATAATATTAGTTATTATTATTATATTATACTACTAAATATATTAACTATCAACTATACAGAGCATGAACAAAACTTTTTAAAATGTGGTACCTACCTATCAGTGGTGTGTAATAAAGTATCAGTTTTCAGCAAATGCATTAAACTGTGTCAATTCACAAAATATTTTCCCTACAGCTACACCCGGTGTTTATTTTTAACACCGGTACTAGAAATGATTGGTGTCTAGAAAGTATGATGCTACAGGGAAAACATTAATGCAGCATGCAATAGAAAGATCTGACAAATAAAAATGAATAACTGATATAAGTTAAACATATGAAAAAAATTATGAAAATTATAATGTTTCAAATTCAATTACTCCAAAAAACTAAGTTAAAAAATTTAAAAAAATAAACTTATTGACTTAAGTTAATGTTTTTTCCATTGAAGATTGTCTAAAAATTAGATTTACAAATTAACTATTTTTAATTTTACCAAAAAGAATATATTTAAATTTAAAGATTTTTATTTTCTGTACTAAAAAATGAATATGGTCATTGTAACACAAGTGTCTAAATTGTAAATAAATTTTTTTTTAAATATTGATCAGAACAAAAGTTATTATATCTGTCAGGTCATTCTACGAGTACAACTCTATATGTAAACAGCATAGATTAAAAATTAAAATATAAAATATACCTATCTACATAATATTATACTGTTATAAGCATAGATTATGATATAATTATATCTTAGTCAACACCACTGTAAGTATAATATGTAGTTTAGTAAAGTAAATTTGATTATAGATACATTACTTGTTCAAATTTCCATTCATCTGACATCGTTGATATCATCCACGTAAGTTCATCTTCATGACATTGTAACACTCTGTAAGTATGTTTTTTCACTTGTTCAGAACAAAGTTTCTTATCTCTTTGTAATATCCTTTCTTTTACTATGTTTATTAATTCGGTAATATTATAGAATTCGGCTTCTTCCAACACGCCTAAAAATAAAATGTTGAAAATTAGGTATTCAGTTAAATTGTCCAATGGTAGACTACCAAAGTCCCAACATATATATTTTATATGTATAAATAATAAATATATTATGGCTAGAACCAAAACTAAATGTCTGCTAATGGGGGTTCATATTATTGAGGGATGTATATTAAGAGAATGATCTAGAAAATCTAAAATATCTTGTTAGCCATTCACAGAAATTATACGGGATTTTTAATGAACACAAAATTACCTTCTTCTGCAAGATTTTTATTCAAAACCAATTTTCCATGACGAAGGTAATTTAAAATGGGACTAAAATATGTCGGATCACGATCAATCATGTATGCACCAGTTTCATCCTAAAATCATAAAAAAATATAATTTACTTAAAAAGTTTCAAGTATCTACAAATAATATTTTTAAATTACAACAAAATAACCTTAAAATATCTATCAAATAACTGTGTTTATATAGTTTTTAAATTTTTTGGTTACAATACAACCTATTTATGAGAAACTTTTTTTTAAATGTTCAATCCTTAGCTATAAAAATTGAACATTTTATAAATTTTTAACTACAAAATAATTGGCAAATTTTTAATTTGATAAATTTCATCAAAATGCAACTCTAAATACTAATATTTGTATACTGCTTTTATCAACATATGATGAACCTTGTATTAAATGTCCAAGCTTTTTGAACCCTACAACAATTTTTTTATCAACATTTAAAGAAAAAAACTACTTTTTTCTAAGTTGTAAATGTCTATAAATAGCTTAAGATATAGAAATGTTTTGAATTTAATGTAAACATTTTATCATGAATGGAAAATTATAAGATAAATATTTGGTATACATTTTAAGTAGGTATCTACAATTATTTGTTTTTGAATCACAACAAAATAAAAAAAAAATGTTCCACTAGGAATTAAATTAATACCTTATATCGAAAAAATTTGAACTTAGCATGTTATAAACAGTTTTTAGTTGATAACCTATATAATCAATCAACTTCAATCAAGTTTTCTGGGAGTCACCAAACTTTTCCCACAGATAAACTACATTAAACATGTTGAGTATCTGGTGAACAACCACTGTTTATTTAGATGCATTATTTATATTATTTCATGCGGCATAGTTATAAATTGTAGGCATAATCATTAATTTCTTTCATTATTTTTCCATCGAAATATTGTTTGTTTTTCTTCACCAATAAATATTTTACTTTGTATGTAAAGTATAAAAGTGTGTTTAATATACGTGTTTAACATCCTCAACCGACATTGGGATGATTAATTTTAAATACAATCGACCAATAGTCCAATAAAGATCGACTGGTTAACTCTTGGTCTAAACTATAATAGCTGAAGACATTTTTATGGTACTTTTGTACCATCATGTAGGGGTGAGCTAAGAAAGTATTTCCAAAATTTGCATTTGAAGTAGGTGTTCACACAAGCATTTTGAGATACACGATGGATTTTGTTTGAAAATATTCGGCATTGATTGTAACTTACAGTTTATAAAAGGAATAGTAGAAATTAGTATTTTGTTTTGTATATGGTGTCAAATAAATAAATTATATATTACAGCAAATGAGTTTAATTATACAATGGTATACAAAAATTTCAGAGATTATTCTTAGATATCAGGAAAGTTTTGAATAGTTTGAACCATACTCAAAAATATACCATGGTCCCATAAGCTATAATATCTGATATTATATATATTGTTCAGTGATCTGAACTGAGGTAAACTCAAATTGATGCACCAATATAATGCCATATTTTATATTATTTTGTTCATTTTTTCAGAGATAAATGGGGTTATAGGTACAGCTCAATTGTTATTTAAGGAAGATTTAATTAGGATTCCTCATATGTGTGGTATGCTGAAGCCATGTGCATATAACATTCATGAATTTTGCAGTAACCTCCATACAAGGTTTTACTACAATAATGTAGTATTTTTTTTTTTTTTTTTAACCATAGAATAATAATAATATCCCATATTACATTATAATTTATAGGTGTACCTGTAATAAATTATATGAAATTATGAATGATTCATGTACCATGATAGGCAGGGATATACCCAGGATTTTTCAATGGAGGGGGCTTAACAAAGTAAATCAGAATTTGATATCCGTTACCTAATACTAAATCATTATTCTTATATGTCGTAACACTCGTAACCATAAAAGCTCTACAAATAATTGATAATACGCAAAATGTTTTTTCAAAACCGTTTTTTGAAATATCATGGTTTGAACTTTGCTTTTTATTATACAAGATTTATTATAAAACATGGACAATAGGGGCGGGGGAGGGGGCTGAATCCCCCTTAGCTCCACCTGGATAGTTTGATAATAAATTATGTAGCAGTCAGATTAGTATTGGTCAGTAAGCAAGATGAAAACAATGATCCAAGACTACGCTTTAGACAATTTACAAATCTCTGAATACCTAAGTAAATAGATCAATGGTACAGACAGTTTTTTAGAGTGCAAACAGTTATGATTTATTTTAATGAGTGAAATTGACAATGGTTGAACGCAATAAACAGACAGTCGTCTATCATGGAAAAACATGATTTAAATGACTTACAATCCATTAGGCAGTTGTTAGTAGCAAGTGAAAAGATGATCACAATTTCACATTTATGATCAACTTGGAACATTTGATACAAAATCTCAATATTAAGGATAACATGAGGCATTGGTGCATTTTGAGAATGAACACACAATATAGCATATTATAATATTTATTACGTTGCCAACTGAGTACTGACCATGTCGGAAATGAGATCGGATTCCTCTGAACACAGTCTGCACAGGAATGAATTGGGATCTCGGCACAACGTTGTCTTTGTAGTCATAAAGCAAGTGCCTCCCACATTCAATTTGACCCACTGAGCAGTGTTGCTCAACGATTTGTTCAGTTGCATTCGTGACCCTTTAACTTTATCAACGCCTTCGATAACACTCATCTTTCGAGTACAAGTGGAGAAAATAAAACTATTCCAATGAAAAACAACAAAGCAAGAATTCAAACTGAAATTAGCGTTAACAGTAATAAATAAAATAATTAACAATTTCAACTATTAACATTAAGCTCTCAATCATTTTATCAAAAAGAAGTCGAAAACTTAATACTGATAAGTGATCACTGATAACAACTAACAATAAAAAGTCTAGAACGCGGTTATTTTGGGTAACCGTGTAACCGATATGGTTATTAAACTTTTGAAATGTTTCGTCAATTAGGCAGTACCTAGGGTAATAGGGTACACAAAATCATGAATCGGATGAATTCGATATTTCGATGTCTTTATAGCATATAATATATATGTTACACAATATACATTACACGGTATAAACAACTTAATAATTAGTTTATATTAATTCAATGTTGTTCCGTTTAATTTGTTTTTGGAACGTAATAGATCGTGTACGTATAAGCGAAAAATTAATCGACTCTAAATTCGTCTAAAGGGTTAGACTTATTTTTAAAATAAGCTTACATCAGCTGCTAAGTATGATTATGTTAAATAACCACTATTAATGTAAAAATATTGTTGGGACTTTTTTCATAAATATAACATTAAATTAGCATTAAAGATTAAACCATATTAATATTAGGTATATATATAGGAATACAAAATAATACTCAAAAATAATATTATTTCAACAGTAGAAAATCAAATATACGTTTAACTCTATTGAATACTATTAATAAAAAAAAAGTTTATTTTCTGGAATAAATACTATTGAACAATCAAATTAATAAATGGACAATATAGAACCCAATTTAAAAATAATTTTTAATATTATTGGATCTACTCAAGAACTTAACTTATTTTTTTTTATATAAAACAGAGAATTTGTGATTGCCCTTAAATTCTGTTAAATGTTAAGAAATAAAATGCACATATTAAATAATGATAACATTTTGATATGTACCTATATAAAGTCTGAAGTTATCTTTGAAACTGCTATGAATTTTAATTTGAGATGATGTCAATGCACTATTATGATATTTTAATTTTTATGTTAGTAATACGCGTGCAAATCATTAGAATTTAAAAATGCTTATAAATTGTATAAAAATTAAAACATCGTAGAAAAGCCAATACCATCTAAAGCCGTGGCCAGTAGTGGCACAAGTAATATATTCTTGGCTTAATGTTTGACAATATTATGTGAATTTATTCTATTAAAAGTATAGATGTAGTATCTATAGCCGTGATTAAAAGTACCTATACAGGGTTGGTTCAGCTAAACATACATTTGTTATGTATCTTGTGGGTCAGAGAGAGAAAAAAATGGTGCGCTGAGTGCTGACATCTTTTAATATAATTAAAGAGGTATTTAAACTTTAAAGATTACTATATTGAAGTAATGCACCTACATCAGCTGGTAACAGCGAGATTATCAATAATATATATTTATAACTATTATCGTGGGTAACAGACAACAGTGATAACTTAGTTGTTTCAATATACGTAATATTCATTATTTAATTATTATACTTCGAATTCCTATGTTCATAATTCACATTTTATCGAATTTTTCGTATTTAAATATCACTGAATACCTAAATCGAATTGAGAACATAGATTAAATTATTTAAATAAATCTATTCTGTTGTATGGTGTTTGCCTAATTACTAGTAGATGGCGCTTTTCAACTATACATTTGGTATCTTGGGCTTTAACTTGTAATCATTGTTAAATGGGGGCTTGTATTACCTTATTGTTTGCTGTTTATCTGTATTTTTAATTTTAATTTTATTTGTCTAACTTACTAATGTAGTCTTCAAAAAACAGAAATCATTTGTAATATTATTTTGTGGTTTTATTAACACAAACACAGAGAGGTAAGCATTTTGTATTTTAAGTACTCGAATTTAAAAGTATGCTGGGCTTCATTACAAAATAAATAATGATAAAGGTTTTATCACAATACTTGACATGTGTATCAGGATTTTGGGAATATAGATCATAATATTATGTATTATTTTAATTAAAATTCTTGTAATGTAATTGTTATTATTGTTCAAATAAACCAATTTAAATTAAAAACTAGTGTATGATCCTGATTGTCTATTAAATTGGTGTTGTATAATTATTTTAAATAATGTTTTAAAATGTTCTAAATAATGAAAAATATAAATATATATTAATACTTAAAATTAAAAACTCTTAAAATATTTATTTATAAATCAACGGGTAACACCCTTTTAATAATATCATTCTTTATTGATTTAAAAGTGACCTTTTTAGTACTTACGTAATGATATTATATAGAAATGTAGGTTAGGTAGAACCTATACTTAACAGCTGAACGCTGGTAAAAGTTAATGCATCGATGGCCTCTAATACTGCGGTTGTTATTTTCTTCACATATTTTTTATAAGTATGAAAATGGGTCATATTTTAAAAACAGAACAATTAAGCTTCTCAAAAGCTGTTGTCAGGACACCAGGGACAGACTTTTAAAATACTGAACTTTCCCATACAAAAACAAGTTGTCTGGCCCATTGCCGCATGTATGGGGGCGCTTAGTACCCTCAAGTCCTTTATTAGCACCCCCAGATTATTTTGATTTGAAAATATAGTTTAATGTGTAATTTTGCATTTAAAAGAAAGAGTTTGGTTCAATTTGTATTCTTAATGCACTAATGCCACTGACATATATTTCCTGTTTAAACATGTTAAGTATATTTAAATTAAATAAAACAAATAAAAAAAAAAAAAATGATGAAAGTAGTAAAAATGTAGATGACCCTGATTGCATCCCTTGTTCGTAATGTAATAGTCTGCTCGAATGTAATAGTCGTTGTATTAATTGGTTATAATATATCGGTCAAAAAAAGATTCTTTGTTGAAAATCAGGTTCACTACTTTGATTTTTTTTAATGTAGTAATTTATAATTTCATTTTAAATGTAATTAATTTATGCGTGATGTGTATAATTTTGTAGCTGTATTAGGGGCTAGGGAACCAAGTCCCCCGTGGGTCACTTTAGGGTATAACATTTTAGCACTCCCAAGTTAAAGACTTAATGTGTGCTGTTCTATGGTCTGGCCACCCTACATGTGAACAACATCTTAACTAGTAACACTAAATTAGAAATTTTGGTAGTATTCAAATATATTATTTAATTTTGCATACCTATTCCATACAAATTAATCTAAATTGAATAAATACTTTTTAATTTATAGATAAAATTGAAAATAAATGAAGAAATATGGACGCATGTGGTAATCCAATACCTGGACCATCAAATGGATTTTTAAATGTAGAAACTACTCAATCAATTGCTACTTATGACTTTGATTGGTTGGAAAAAGAGTTCAAAGGCGATGATTCCAATGAAGATGTTAAAGTTCCTACAAGTGTAATTCAAAGTTTAAATGAAAATGATAGTTATAAATTTGGTCAAAGTGAAACAAATCATAATATTCAAGATTTTTTTGAAGAAATTAATTGCATAGATTTTAGTCAAAATATTGTACAGAGTAATCATACTCTTGCAGAATTATTAGAACAATGCACCAAATTTATTGATATTTTAGGCCGTAATATAGTTTGTTTAGAAGAAATGGCAATTGAAATTAACAGAAATATTGAAGTTTCAAAAAGAAATGCAGCCAAGGCTTTTAGTTGTATTAAGTTTGAAAAAAAGGCCATTTCTAAAGTTACCATGAAACATTTGAAAATAAAAGCACATTTGTCAAATTTTTTTAAAATTGGCTTATCAAACTGCCCACGGAATCCTCATCTCAGTGAGTTATATGAAACTGGAAGATTAATATTGTCTAGCAATGGTCGTTTTATACTTGAAGAATGTGTTGAAAGAAATCAATGGAACCAAGAGTTCAAAAATAGATTAGAAAAAGCAATTCATGCTGAAGTATTGAATAAAATAAAAATTCCTATGCTCGAACAGCACTTGCGTCTTGGTGTAGATCGAGATAAACAAAGTGATCCCGAGATAAAACATAAAATTGAAATTGAAATGAAGGATCTAGAAAATGAATTAGATACTATAACAAAAACACCATTTAAGCAGTTAGTATTTCAGTTTATGGACTCGGACTCAAAGTATGATTGGTTACACATTGCAAAAGAAATTGATAAACCTGATTTACAATGTCGAAGATTTTGGAATTTAGTTTTAAAACCTCATATATCAAGAGCTAAATGGACTAAAAGTGAAGATGATCTTTTAATTAGAATTGTTGCAAAAAATAATGAAAAAAATTGGCAAAAAATAAGTGATGAAATGGCTACCAACCGCAATGAGTTACAATGTTTTGTTCATTATCAAAAATATAAGACAATGATATACAAAAAAGGAAAATGGTCAAAACAAGAAGATCAGAAGCTTATGGAGGTGATTAAAGAAAACTCCATAGGTAATATAATCAATTGGCAAAGAGTGTATTTTGCAATGCATGACACTAGAAGATCTGTTGATCAAATTTATATAAGGTGTGTTAATTTTTCTATTTTATGAATTTAGTATTTACTAAACTTGTTCTTTAAAATATAAATGATTAGACTTTAATCAATTAAAGCTGAATTTCTAAAATACAATTGATGAAACTGGTTGATAAGCAGCTGGTCTATACTTGATTAAACATTTTATTTTGTTTCCTATTGATTAAAATTTGTTCTTAACTCCAAATGTATTGAAATCAATATTAACTAACTAAAATTTCTTAGTTTAATGTGGGATTTTGACCCATGTTTAACATTTTAAGTAAAAATTATGTTAAATTTTTTTTAGAGAAATTGTTTAATTAGTACAAATGTGTAGATATTTATGAACAACCCTATGTGTATAATTTTACTAATTTTTTATTTTATTTTATTTTAACAGATGGGCCCATAGCTTAAAACCAGGCATTCAGAAAGGGTTTTTGACTGATAGAGAAAAATATATTATTCAAGAAGCGAAAATCAAAAATTTACCTCCATCTATAGTATCAATGAATCTGACTAATCGAACAACTGCACAAGTTCGTAACGCTTATCGTAGAATATGTTTATATGGTGAAGATATTTATAGAGGTAGTTGGACAACTGGCGAAGATAAAATGTTATTAGATGCTATTAAATCACATACACCTAATGAATTTACTTGGTCACAAATATCTCAACAGGTACCTGGACGTAATGCAGAACAATGCCGTCATAGGTTCAAATTAATTGATAGAAAAACAAAACGGAATCCAAAATTGACTGTTGACAACTTTCCACGCTCATCCCGACCCTTCAAACCTAAAGAAATATTACATTTTCCAGAAGAAGAATTAAATGAATTAGATTTACATGAAAAATTTAAACACAATCGTCAATTTCTTAAAACATCTAATGTACAAATAGAATCAGATGCTGATCGGAAGTTGAAGAAATCGTATTTGGATAATAAGTTTGTTATTGCCAATTGCAATTTGTCTAGTAAATGTGATCTCTACAGACATGTACTCGATTACTTAGGAGCTAAGTTGGTTGTACCGGAAACTTTTGCCCATAAAGATGATTTGATTGATGAAGGACTTATGAGTATGATGACTTATTTATCAAAGTGTCCCATTGAAGTAATGACATTAGATACAAGTAATGTTGAACACAATTTGTGTGACCCACCATTGACCTATGAAGGAGTTCACAATGTTTTAAGAACAAGTGACATTACTAATTCTGATGTAAGTGAAATAGAAGGTTTGTTAGACATTAGAATAAGAAATATTCAAAAGGAACAACCAAATGGAGGTATCAATACTATGGATACTATTAAAAATAAAAAAGATCCACTACTACCATTAAACTTCATTGGTTCTGTACCGCCAAATCATGAGACCTTTAAAATGTTGTATACATATATTAATTCTCTAAATTCAAGTATGAAAACTTATCACTTTAAAGATTCCAATATGCATTTTGATTGGGATGATGAAGAATCCAAAAAATTACATAAACGCCTTGTCGCTATTTTAAGGTTGCCAGCATTATTTTCCAGTTTGATACAGCACAATAAAGCAAACATAAATATGATTGTAAATACTGAAGAGGCTAATATGGTACCATTTTCAAATTATTCTAGAATTCATTATACTCACCCTAAAAATAAAAAATCCAACTTCGGTAAAATATATTTTTTATAAGAATATTATGTTTTCAGTTTCTATTAGATTTATAAGACAATATTAGTGATTACTTGTATATTGGTACCTATACTTTTAAAATTAATAATTATTCTTCTTGTTTAATATTTCAGTTTAATTTGTTTCAAAAGAAATTGGATTTTACTTAATTGAAAGTGTTAATAATATTATGAATCATAATCTCAATGATTTTATTTTGAAGACTGACATTTGAATTACATTAAATATCGTTTAATCTAATGAATTCTTAAATACAATTTATTGAATTTACATTCCTCATTTATGATTAAGAGAGCACCATAACCGCTTGCATTGTCTCTGCTTTGCAAACACATAATGTAGCAAAATGTATGTTCTGAATAATTCAATTAGCTCTGTTGTGTTTAATTTTAGAGTGAATTGATCTATTACCAAATTCAAAATTTAAATTATTATCTAGTAGTTGACATAGGCTTTTTTTGTATTTTAATTTTAAAGCTAGTTATGAGCATTTTAAAATGTACACTCAATTTACAATTTTAAAATATTCATAACTAACTAAAATAAAAAAAACCTAAGTCATCCACTAAATAATATTTTTACTTCCAAATTTAGTCTTAAGTCAATGCACTTTAAAATTAAGCATAAAGAGTTAAATTAATTATTTAGAATGTATAATTTACTATGTTATATGCTTGTAAGACAGAGATAACACGTGTTGGTGTCTTACTATTGTGTCCTCTTAATATAATATTTCAGTTTACATTTTTCATTTTTTTAAAATTAATTGTTAATTGTTATAAATTTAACATGTATATCTCTTTAAAATATTTTTGTTTAGCTATGCATGTTGTTTCATGTTGAAGAAATTATTTTGCAAAAAAAAAATAAAAAATAAGAATACCCGATTACATATTTTTGTTTTTTATTATTTTGTACGACTAAATAAAACTATTTTAATTTGATGCATGCCTTAGATATAAATCAAATTACCATACAAATTGAATATTCTGAGAGGACAATGTATTGATTTTCAATGATGTGTGGTTTTTTTGTGTGTCTGAAAACACTTTTTCCATAAGAAAATAAGCTTTGATTGTTAACTTTGAGAATGGCTCACGTAGCAAATTGGATATTTTCATTTTTAGTTGGTACTTTTTTTGGGAGGGGCGGGGGTCAAACCTCTTCAGTTTTTAGTTAGATACCTTTTTTATATTTTAGATTACAATTTGTTTAGTACTTGATATTTGTTGGTATACTTTCTTAATTAAGCTGAATAAGACATTAAGCCTTAATGATTAAGGCATATACATAGGTTGCCTATCATTTGGTCATGCTTCAGCATAAACCATCACCGTGATTGTATGTAAGTAGGTATATTTTTATTAATAAATTAGATATAATTAAAAATTATAATATAATATAATATTTAGGTATTTAATTATACTATTAAGCATCAAACAATGTCTGATTCTCATATTTTCTTTTCGAAATGAAATAGGTAAGTAAATTCCTATAATTAAGCATCATAATGGGTGGTAATATGGGATTATTTTAGGCTATAATTTGATTTTGCGTAGGGAAATAAAACGTGAGCAGCAAAAGTTATGAGTTTTGCTAATTGGTGCAAATCACAGGGGTGTTAAGGATGCTAAGCACTCTGAGTTTATAAATTTATAAATTAAATAACTTAAAAAAAAAACATCATTAGATTTTCATAAATTATTATAATTATCGCTCTCAGTTTAATGCAGTGAAAAACCTTAAAACATGCATTTAAAATCTCAATAAATTCAATTTAAAATACACTATTTATAATATAAATCCTGAAAATGAATTCAAAATATAAAACAAATACAAATCTATCAAGCTGTATTCAAAAAAAAACTATATTTTTAACCATTTACAAAAATGTATAAGACAAAAAAAAAATATGATTACAAAGTTTTAATAAATATAATTTATAAAAATATCTAAAAAGTAATAAAGAATGAAAAATTGACCAATAAATACGAAAAAATACATCAAATTAAAAAAAAATTCTAACGTACATAAAAGATTTAAAATTGAGTTAGTTTGTATCTAATTCTAACTTTGTGTTCAGAAAGTTCTGTTTTACAATAACTAAGAAGAAAAGAACGAATTTTCCTGCAAACTCACAGCCCATTCAGCCCAATACAGCATTGATTTAAATCTTGAATTTATTTTATTAATATAGACATCGAATGTAACTGATATATGGAGGAGTGCGAGCCAGGGGCGCCATTTGGGGGGGTGCAGGGTGTGCACTTGCACACCCTGTAATTTTGTTGTCTATTATTGGCCTAGCCTAGGCATCATTTATACTTTGGCCTTCAATTTGCCAATCTTTAATTGTGTATGCACCGCTATTCACGGCTAATCATAAATAATATTATAATATTATTGGGTCCTTTAATTAGATAGTTGATAATTTGATATCAGTATCACTTTATCCACTGGCGTGTAACTCCTAGGTTTATAGATAATATTATAATACTATTATATTCATAGACCGAAACATTAGGTATGATAATGCGTGCAAGTGGGTGGATCTTGTTACAAGAATCGGGCGCTGAAATCGATTAGTTGTTATGGTATTTCATTCTATCAAATGATCGTTAATTATTTTTCTATAATTAAACTGTGACTCTGGATAAGGCAGATATGGTCTTATCTTATGGCTTATGTTTATATCGTTTATTATTTTCGATTTTTGATTAAATTAAAAATATATTTATTAATCATTTCATAAGTTATATACTTCTGAAGTTATATATTAGAATATTAATAATTCTACACTCTACAGTTCTATAAATTATATTTACTCACTACGCTGTAGTGAAAATGGATACCAATAATAAAAGGAAAAGTGGTGCAGCTAGGATGAAAGATACAAATAAAAAAAATTATTTAAAATATCCACTTCTTTTAAAAAAATTGACGACATGTTTTCTAAAAATGAAATTAAAGCTAAGACAAATATTGCAGTAAATCAAGTTGCTATTGCTTCAAAGCAATACAAATATTCAACTAAACTTTGATTCTATCGTATCCTCTTTATCACAACTTCCTACAGCCTTTTCTGAAACTTTAAAAATTATTTCTATACTAAAGATTCTTCCAATTACTACTGCTTCAAATGAACGATTCTTTTCATCCCTTAAAAATGTTAAAACTTTCTTATGTACTAAAATGGGAGATAACAGACTAAGTGATCTTGTGGTTTTAAATGTAGAGAAAGAAGAAGCTAAGTGCGTAGATTTATATAAAGCTGTAGATGCATTTTCAGATATGAAGCAACGGAGATACCCGCTTAAATAATAACCTATGCTGCTATGCTTTTATAATTATACCTATGCCATTATTTTATATTTATTTATTGTATTAATGTTAACTATAAACATATTAAGGTCAATATAATAATAAACTATTATATTTCAAGTTGTTCATTATTTGCATTACGCTTTACTTTATGCTTTAGTCACAAACTTATCTTTAAATAATTAGTTTGTATTTTCCTTTTTTTTGGATACCTTTATTTCATATATAGCTAAGAATGTTTTTGACACTAAAAATTCTATATTGAAAAATTAAAAACACGAGAAACGTTTTTTTAAGGATTGGCCTGGCGGTGAGAAAAATTGGCCTCTTTCATTGTTTGCACACCCCTAAAAAAAACTGAAATGGCGCCCCTGGTGTGAGCAGGGGGAAAACCCTAACGGCTTTGGTCCCTCTAAAATTTCTTGGGTGCTTAAGCTCCCCTTAATATTTTTTGATGATTTGAGTCCATAGTTTTGCTGCTTTTGTATTAAAAATTGAGCACGAATACTTACATGATTACACTCCAGTAGGTCCCTTGGTCAGTCCTCTCTAGTTGACAGAAGGTTTATGCACAATTTCTTTGTAAGCTACTAAATGGTGATATTGACCAGGCACATATACAGGGGGGGGTTGGTGGTTCAACCCCCCCCCCCCCCCCGAAATAATTTCTTGGAAAATTAAGTCAAATTTATTATACTCCTATATTATTATAAAATATTTTTAGAATAAATTAGCTGTTGACGGTTTTTCTCTGTTTATTAGTCAGGTATGAAATACAGTTTATACCTATATAGTATTATAATTGTGTCGTATACGCCGTTTCACAGACGTACACAAATAAACAATAATTATTATTAAGCACTTTTATTAAAACTTTAACGTCCAGTGGCGATCGAAACACACGATCACCGCTGACTGAACCACTATCTGTCTTCCCATATTACTTATATATCAATATTACAATCGAAGTACTATTGGTAGTATCGATATTAAGCTTAACCTAGTTGCATTATACTTACTGACTATGCTTAAAATTATACTAATTGTTATTGTATTACATAATTGACTATTGAGTATTGTATGAGTTGATTGTTTTGGTATTTTACCTGTTACATATGAATGTTTACTTAACCTAGTTAACACTATTTTTTTTTTTATATATTATACATGATACAACAATTGAATGATCGAGGTGATTACTGTGGACTACGCACGAACACAGTACACAGAACTGTATTATTGCAATTTGCGATGTACCTAGAAAACTCATATTTTGTGGATAATCTTATCTTATCTTATTTCCGTACTCGATCGGTCACCAACAATAACAGAGCAAAAACACTGATTGAATGTATTAATGAATATGTCCCACAAATTCGAACAAAAACTCTAATAAAAATGTGTGAAACGCGATGGGTAGATCGACATGAAAGCTTAATTCGATTTAAAGAATTATATAAAGCTATTTATTATGCATTAAAACAAATTAGAAGAGTGTTCAAATGTAGAAACATCACGTACAGCTTTTCAACTTTTTAATTCCATTAATAACTCAGTTTTTATCATAGCTTTACATGTGATTGAGAAGTTTTTTTCTTTAACTTTACCACTATCTATAGCACTACAAAAAGCAAATATTGATTTGTCATATTGTTATGAGCGAGTAACAGATGTATGTCAAATATTTAAAGAAATTCGAGAAAATGGCGATGATGAGTTTAAACAAATATTTTCTTATTCAGAAGAGTCTATGTTAGAAGGAATTATTGAGGAACCAAGAACTGTAGGTCGACAAACTGCACGTAACAATATTCCATCTGATACTCCGGAACAGTATTATAAAAGATCAATATTTTTACCTTTTTTAGATCATTTTATTTGTCAATTACAAGATAGATTTACTAATCATCATCATGTAATGGCTAAACTACAATCACTTATTCCAAATTGTCTTAAGAATACAACTAATATAAAAGATTTTCAAGAGGTAGCGCTTTTTTATAAAGATATTTTACCTAATTATGAAACATTTGACGCAGAAATTAAAATATGGCTAGCTAAATGGAAAAATGTATCTGATACAGACCGTCCTACTACATCATTGACTACTTTGTCTGCAATGTCTTATGATTTTTTCCCAAACATTCACAGTC